GTGGGTGGTGGGTGATGGGTAGGGATGGAGGAAATCCTGAAGAGGAGAGAGCAGTTGACGTATCTGGAGGGAGTGGGTTGGGTCCTGCGGTTAAGCCTGTGACCAAAAGGGCCTTTAAGAATAAGTTTGGCAAATGTGAGATTTAGCTTCTTTAAAATTTGTGCAATCTACTGGAAGCCCGTGTTACACATTACTTGGGGCAGACGGTGGTGGATGCAAGACCGTGATGGCGATAGCCCCGATCAGGCACGAATGGGAGACAGAAATGTAGCCTGTGATACCAATGACGGAGTGTTACTCACTCCTCTCCAGAGGAGACTGAGAAGCATTGGGACCTATTGGGATATTGGGAGAGAGACATCAGGCTTTCTAGAGGATATGGAATAGGGGAGTGGAGTAAATTTCATCCAGATGGGAGCGGGTTGATTCCGCCTAATATCTGAGTTCTATGTGTAGTGAACTCTGATGCAGGCCTATTATACTAAACCGCAAGCTGAAGCAAGTTAGATTGTTGTTCTACTTGAAAAAGCAGTGCTTTCATATGGTCCCATGTCATATTGTGGTCTAGGTATTAAAAAAAGTGGATGGATCTCCACATAGAAGGGAGGTAGTGCCGCTTCATGGAGAGCAGAGCCCTCCCCTGTAAAACCAAAGATGGCTCCAGAAGTGGCAGGTGGAAGATGCAGTGTGGCGGGGGGAGGGGTGGCAGCATGCTGGGAGGTTCCTCCAGGCTGGGGGCAGCGTGAGCAAGGGCACAGGGGAGCAGAGGCACGTGCCCGCCCTGGTGGGTTTTCAGAGCCCCGTCGGGAGGGTAGCAAAGTGAAAAACAGAGTGGGGAGGCTAGGTTCTAGGAGGACAGAGTGGTGTCTCTGAGCTCCATGTAGATGGGACATAGCCCCATAGAGCAGCGGTGGGCATGGGAGCCATCAGGTAAGGTTAGAGGCCATCAGAGCCAGAGGCCATCAGGTAAGGTTAGAGCTGGCAGGGCTTTATTTGGAAGCCAAGTGAAGGAAACGAGAAACCTTGAGGGGGCCATCCAGGGGTTACAGGGTCCCCTTGCAGCAGGCCCTCGTAGCAGGTGCTCTGACTCGCCCTATAGGCTTCTCTCTGCTGGTCTGAACTCAGCATCTGGTGCCCTTCACTCCCAGCCTGCACCATTCACCTGCCACATCTCCTAGTGAACTCTTTGGTTTTACCTCAGTTACCAAGAAGCCCTTAGGGCCTGGGCCTTGTGTTGTGGCTGCTTGACCATATGGGCATTTGAGGATGACAAATAACCACACCCCTTCCTGCTGGTTCTGAACCAGTTGAGAGAAACGTACTAGCTCTGTTGTTGCTAAAGTGGGATTGGCCTGAAACCTGAATTTAGGCATTCACAATGCCAGGTGCACTTTCCCAGGAGAAAATGTCCTGAGCAAATATTGAGGTCCATTTATCTGTGTGCAAAAATGTGCTGAGTTTCTTTGTCAAGTCAAAATCCAACACGTCTCCTTCTCTATCCTCTTCCTCCTTCCTCCCCTGAAATGAATCCATGTGTTTGCCATTAAACTTGCAAACTATATGGATGCTATTGGTTAAGGACAGGAGAATCTTTTCATCTGGTTAGTTTCAAAAAAAAGAATGTAATGCATTAGAAATTACCCTTCCACCAGTCAATTACCTTGAAGCTCCCCCATGTTCTTTGGTTTCGTGAGTTGACTCTTTAATTTCTAAATTCCCTATTAATTCCCAAAATTTGTGATATTATGACTCTCTCTCTTTAGTTCACTCTTTCTGTTTTATGACCCCAAATCTGCCCTCAGTCATCTCTAGTTCACAGGGAGGACTGAGCATTATGTATCACACTATGCTTTCAGAGATCTTTCTTCAGGGAACAGGGTAGTTTAGAGAAAATTTTAAGATCCTTCTGACCCCAGGGATGAACCAGAAGTGTGTGTTTACGTGTGTGTGTGTGTGTGTGTGTGTGTGTGTGTGTGTGTGTGTGTGTTTTAAAATTAGCATCATCATGGGGTGCCTGGGTGGCTCAGTTGGTTAAGCATCCAACTCTTGATTTCAGCTCAGGTCATGATCTCACAGTTCATGGGTTGGAGCCCTGTGTCGGGCTCTATGCTGGCAGTGCGGAACCTGCTTGGGATTCTCTCTCCCTCTCTCTCTGTCCCTTCCTCTCTCTCTCTTTCAAAATAAATAAATCACCATTAAAAAATAAAATTAGCATCATCTTAATTGTCTAACTTTCATTTTAATTAGGTGAGCCTTCAAAAGTGTGACGTATTTGAACTGAAAACCCTGAAGGAGCCGATAGACTACTTGAGTCTAGCTCATAACCCCGAGACTCTGGAGAAAATAGAAGCTTGTATGAGAGTATGGATCAAACAGACAGAACAGGTAATTTTCAGAAAGCAAACATCAGCTTCAGATGCTACGTTACTGAACTAGTCAATGGAAGACGGTATATCTTTTGCCATTCCCATTTGCCTAAGTATTTGACGAGTCCCTAAAAAGGTGAGGAGTTCAGTGTGGTTTTCATTTATGGTCATTGGTTAAGAAGAGATAGTAAAAAATTTGAAGAGAGGAAAGCAAGTAACTTTAAATACTTAATGTGGGGCGCCTGGGTGGCGCAGTCGGTTGCGCGTCCGACTTCAGCCGGGTCACGATCTCGCGGTCCGTGAGTTCGAGCCCCGCGTCGGGCTCTGGGCTGACGGCTCGGAGCCTGGAGCCTGTTTCCGATTCTGTGTCTCCCTCTCTCTCTGCCCCTCGCCCGTTCATGCTCTGTCTCTCTCTGTCCCAAAAATAAATAAACGTTGATAAATACTTAATGTAACAAGAAGACTGCGCTTTGTCAAATTTTTTTTTTCTCAAGGTGTATTTTACAGAGAATCTCTGTAGAAGTACAAGGAGTTTTCCAGTCAGTGTGCCTTCTAAAAGGGAGCTCGAGACTTAAAAAAAAAAAAAAAAAAAAAAAAAAAAAAAAAAAAAAGCTTAGAAAAACACTTTCAGAAAAATCCGAAGTGTCGGCAGACATTTAATCAAAAAGTAACGAAAATTAACCAACAGTTAACAGTGAAAGTTAACTAACTTAAGGCATGCAGACTTTCCAAGGTTATATTGCTCTAAGGGTATACGGTGAGTGAAGAGTCAAGGAAATGTTCTGAGGTCAGGTCCTCCAAAAGTTCGTTAGAACGTTCTAAATAAGTAGTTTTCAATTTGAGCATGTTCACTAAATTTTTGTTGAAGTTTTAAAAATGGATGCAAGTCAAAGGCTGTCCCTTGAAGCGTGCAAATGAATACAAATATATCATGATTCAGAAAGCATAATTGATTTATTTCCCAGTGTATAACTTTCATACCGCCAGCCCTATTCAGAGGTTCACAGTTCTGCCGTGCATTATCAGGTCCTTGCCGAAAACAACCAGCTGCGTAAGGAAGCGGATGACCTCGGGCCCCGAGCAGAGTTGGAACACTGGAAGAAAAGACTGTCCAAATTTAACTACCTTTTGGATCAATTAAAAGGCCCGGATGTGAAGGCTGTCTTGGCAATGCTTGCTGCTGCTAGGTCTAAACTTCTGAAGGTTGTCAGCCATTTCTTTCTGCTTTATGAAACGGGAATGGAAGTTCTCTGTGTGTATTTTCATGTCATAGAGTAACTAGGAACAGAAAAATGTTGTTATACCTTTATGAAAAAACTTGAAGGCTGGATAATCTTGCCCTTTTATAATTCTGGGTACTGTGGACATTGCCTTTGAATTAAGAGTATTTGTTGGCTGGTGTGCATGTATGTATATGTATTATTAGAGAGCATTGCATGTAATTAAGATGTAGCTTCACATCATGATTATGTATATATTTTGAATTCAGACTAACCAGGAGTTGTAATAACAAAAACTTACTTTGATATATATATATACATATATATACATATTAGCCCTAGTATATTCGTTTTATATCCCCCTGTAACAAATTACCCTAACACTTAGCAACGTAACACAGCAAACATATATTACATCCCAGTCTGTGGGCTGTGTGTCAGGAATTTAGGGGCAACTCACCTGGGTGCCTCTGACTCAGGATCTCTCCTGAGGTCACAGTCAGGGTGTTGGTTCATCTGAGGCTCACCTGGGGGGAGGATCTGCCTCCAAGTTGCTCATGAGGTCATTGCAGGATTCAGTTTCTTGCTCGCTGTGGGCTGGAGGCTTCCTTCGGTTCTTACCATACAAAGTATGGGAGTGAGGTGCACGATGGATCCAGGAGCCAGTGGAGGAGAGAAAGTGTGGGTTCAAATGGAGGTGCTGCCCTCTTGATGCTCTGTCCTAGTTAGCGAGTAGATTTTATAAGGGAAGGCCTTAAAGAGATACCTTTAAACATTCGGCCAAAAAGTTTAAATCGCTCTCCAACGTGGCCATACCCCTCACTCCTGTGGATTCAGTTTTATGTGAGATGCACAGCATAAACTGGAAGTCTGACACAACGGACCTGTGGTGGCTGTTAGCAGCTGTTATATTGGAAGTTCCTTTATAATAATTGCATAAAAATTGCTTTCCTGTCTTGTGCTTAGACTTGGCGGGAGCTGGATATTCGAATCACTGATGCAGCTAATGAAGCGAAGGACAATGTCAAATATTTGTACACACTTGAAAAATGCTGTGACCCCTTGTACAGTAGTGACCCTGTGAGTTGAAGAAATCTACTTGCTTAGTCTGCTGGTAAACCTTTTGCACTGGCGGAATCGAGCATGGAGTTTGGTTCATTAATATTAAAGTTTGTTGGAAAAGTCTTAGAAACCTCCTTTTAGTCTCAAGAAAATTTTATATGTATACAGTTGACCCTTGAGCAACATGGGTTTGGACGGCGTGCGTCCACTTACACATGAGGTTTTTTTTCCAAAAAATACAGTATATTGCTGAAAGTATATTTTATCTTTCTTACCATTTTCTTTTCTCTAGCTTACTTTATTGTAAAAATATAGTATGTAATACATAAAACATACAAAATATGTATTAATCAACTGTTTATATTATCGGTAAGACTTCCAGTCAACAGTAGGCTATTAGTAGTTAAGTTGTGGGGGGCAGTCAAAAGTTATGCATGAATTTTCAACTACATGGGGATTGGTGTGCCTGGCCCCTCATTGTTCAAGGGTCAACTGTACATATGTATATATTTATCTGTATCTGTCTGTCTGTCTATCTGTCTGTCTCTCTGAGATGGATATGCAATATTATATTTTAGAATCTTTTTTGCGTATTCCGGTTTCCATTGAGTATTGTAATTGACATTCTGGATGATACTCAAAGAGGTGTTGGAAAAGTTATCGGTTGGTGTTTTATCTTTTAACTTTAGGGAGTGCCTGCTTTTATTGATTACAAAATTAATGTTAACCTTGTCATTAACAGACAGTTAATGTTTCTTGCATTGAAACAAATTTGATTAACTGCATATGACTAATAAAAATGAAATTACCTTTAAATACATCTATGTGGAGTGTTAGATAATATTTTAAAAATTTAACTAGGGGCGCCTGGGTGGCGCAGTCGGTTAAGCGTCCGACTTCAACCAGGTCACAATCTCACGGTCCGTGAGTTCGAGCCCCGCGTCGGGCTCTGGGCTGATGGCTCAGAGCCTGGAGCCTGTTTCCGATTCTGTGTCTCCCTCTCTCTCTGCCCCTCGCCCGTTCATGCTCTGTCTCTCTCTGTCCCAAAAATAAATAAAAAAAAACGTTGAAAAAAAAAAAAAAAAAAGAAAAAAAAATTTAACTAAAAATCTCTTAGCTAATTTTATTCTAATGAAGATTGAATGGTTATACTATCAGAATTTTGCTGAATTTGGTATTTGTTTCTCTGAAAACTTTTGTGGTGTCTTCTAGATATCCATGGTTGATGCTATCCCTACACTTATAAATGCAATTAAAATGATCTATAGTATTTCCCATTACTATAACACCTCTGAGAAGATCACGTCTCTGTTTGTAAAGGTAAGTTCGTAGCATAGATCCCATGGTCACTTGTATTTTTTTGCAATGTTGATTTTTTGATAATTAGAAATTACCATGTGGGCACAATTCAATGTCTATGTATCCTACAATTAAAAAAAAATTTAATCTGTAAAATAGATATAGAATTAAGTGTATTCGTGAGGCTGATTCTTACAAATCATAAAGCATTATTTCCCAAAATAATTATTATAATAAATAATTGGGCTATTTTTTTATTTTTTTATTTATTTTTTTAAAAAAAAATTTTTTTTTTTTTAACATTTATTTATTTTTGAGACAGAGAGAGACAGAGCATGAATGCGGGAGGGGCAGAGAGAGAGGGAGACACAGAATCCGAAGCAGGCTCCAGGCTCCGAGCTGTCAGCCCAGAGCCCGACACGGGGCTCGAACTCACGGACGTGAGATCGTGACCTGGGCCGAAGTCGGACGCTCAACCGACTGAGTCACCCAGGCGCCCCATGGGCTATTTTTTTAATTAAAAAAAATTTTTTTAATGTTTATTCATTTTTGAGAGATGGGAGAGACAGAGCATGAGTGGGGGAGGGGCAGAGAGAGAGGGACACACAGAATCCGAAGCAGGCTCCAGGCTCTGAGCTGTCAGCACAGAGCCCAATGCGGGGCTCGAACTCATGTACTACGAGATCATGACCTGAGCCGAAGTTGGACACTTACCTGATTGAGCCACCCAGGCACCCCAATAATTGTGTTATTTATATAATAAAATTTTAACAAAGAGTCTTTTTGGAATTTCTTTCTCTATGTTATTTAGCACATTATTTATTCCTTTTGGGTAAATTTTAATTAAGAAAAACTATATTTAACTGGCTTTCTCCTGTTTTTTATGTGCCACTTTTCCAAATTTATTTGATGCCACAGTTGTTTACTTGGTGTTATTAGAACAGTTATCATGGTCATAAAAGCCACTTGCAACATTTCAGTAATCCTAAAGCAATTATAATGATTCTGCCAAAAAACATAACGATGTTTAAACCGTATGTCCTAACTCATAAGCGTTTATGGTGAGCACTGTTGCTTTCCCCATTTTGAACAGTCTCTAAGAAGTAAATGACTTTCATCACCAAGGTGAAAGTTTTAAATGTTGTGCTAAAATAGAGGCATTTCTGCCTCATCAGGACTTGTGTTGTGAATGCTCGCATAGTAGGAGGCATGGTTCTTCCTGGGGAGGGGTATGTCCAGCCTGAGAACTGGACAGGAGGCCCCCTTTTCTCTGCTCTCAGTCAGGCAGTTCAGGTAGAGAAAGGGGGGAAATCCATGAGATTCTTGCTCCACTTCTTCCTATGTTAAAAGGACATGGGAGGGTCGTGAGGGATATTCTCTGAGAAGGAGCCTCCAAAGCCAATTTGTATCATCGCTCCAGACTTCATGCGTATTATCCTCAAGGCTTGTTTTTGAACAAAATTGTGAAACCATCATTTATCTAATTTTGGAGAAGCTTTCATTATGGAAATTTTGAGATGGGTACAAAGGACAGAGAATTATGCACCAGACCCCCAAGTCCCTGTCGCCCAGGTTCTGTCTGCACGACACCCATCTTGTTCCACACTCTCTTCCAGCCTTTGCACTGCCTGTCCCAGACATCTTGCCATTCCATGCGTTCATAGTCATCTGATTTTCCTTTTACATTACAAAAAAGTCATAAGAAAATTCTGAAGTTTTTTTTTGCAGTTTGGAGGACTGGATAAAATGTTAGTGGTTACGGATGTCAGCTTGACTCTATTCTCTTCTCCTTTTTGACATTTCTGCTACAGCTCCTGGTGTCATGAAATGGTCAGGTGGACAGTCCTTTCCATGGCACTTGGAGACTGTGAGTTACATGTTAGAGCAGCCTACCGAAGGAGACTGGGGGAACTCTCAACAGCTTTCAGACAGGGAAGTGAATTCTCTCCTGGCTGGTCGAGATGTTCATCCTGCATAAACCAGGGGGCCTGAATTGTTGATTGGCCACAGCGCTTCCAACTCTGTGATTTCACAAATGATTTTGACAGTACATATTAGAATCGAAAAAAGACGAACGAATGGGAGTAGAGAGTAGAAGGGTGGTTGCCAGAGGCTGGGGAGTGTGGGCAACAGGGAGATGCTACAACTCTCAGTTATAAGATGAATAAATTCTGGGGAATCTAACGCACAGCATAGCTACCATAGTTAGTAATACTTGTATTGTGTACTCAAAAGTTGGTAAGAGAGCAGATCTGACATCTTTTCAACACACACACACACACACACACACACCACACACACACAGTGTTAAACTGTGAGGTGGTACATGTGTTTATCATGGTAATCATTTCACTCTGCATATGAATATAAAGGATCGTGTTGTACACCTGAAATAGAAATAATTTTTGTTTGTCTTTTGTATAAATGAGCTGGGGCAAAAAAAGGGCTGGGGCAAAAAACGTGTTAGTGCTGGATCATGGCTGTGATGGAAAAAAAGAAACCTAGTGTCAAGGTCACAGATTGCACACCCTGAGAGGTAGAGGAGTCAAGGACCCTCCAGTTCAGTTTATGAGTGATGGCTGTTTTATGTACTTAGCACCATTTTATTGGGAAATTCCAGGTGACGAATCAGATGATATCTGCATGTAAAGCCTACATTACCAACAATGGAACTGCGTCCATCTGGAGCCAGCCGCAAGATGTTGTTGTGGAAAAGATATTGTCTGCAATTAAACTCAAGCAGGTAACGGTCAGCTTAATAACACGTTTAGATAATATTTTATTATTTTTATGTGGTTTTTGCTGATGCATCTTAAATCATTTAGCAATTATCATTGTTGATTGCTGAAAAGTAATTCTTTTTGTAAAAGAGTAATTCTTTATTGTGAAGAAAATTGAATGTTAATAAATCTGCTCTCAAAATTTATGCACTTATTCTGCTGTTTTGGGGCCCTGTGATGTCCTGACGCCACACTCAGTCCCAGAAATGCAAAGACGAGGTAGTTTCTTTAGTTTCTTGAGGATGAATTGGGAGTTAGACACCGAGTTAGGCTAATGCTAACACGGTGGGATCAAGTGGAAAGGCTGTGCCTTTGCGTTGACTCATGAATAATTAGTAATTTGCTAGATTGGGAGTTAGGAAATGATGACATTGCCAGCTGAAGAATGGGCACATGCAAGGCATGACACTGACGGGGTTTGAAGTTCCACCCTGAATTTACAGCTTCTTCCACGTGAGAGAATAAGGTTGATAACCCGGGTTATGTTCCCTTTCTAATATTTTGGTTTTTAATTTTAAGGAATACCAGCGCTGCTTTCACAAGACAAAACAAAAGCTTAAACACGATCCAAATGAGAAACAATTTGAATTTAGTGAGATGTATATTTTTGGAAAATTTGAAACTTTCCACCGACGTCTTGTCAAGATAATAGACATCTTTACAACCTTCAGGACATACTCAGTCCTGCAAGATTCTAAAATTGAGGGGCTGGAAGACATGGTCACTAAATACCAGGTCCGTACTTTATTTTTGTTTAAAGATTTTATTTTTTTTTAAGTAACATCTATACCCAACGTGGGACTTGAACTCACAACCCCAAGATTAAGAGTTGCACGCTCCACTGATGAGCCAGCTAGGCGCCCCCGAGGTTCTGTCCTTTAAAACTAAATTTCCTACCTTTTCTGTAACTAAAACTTTAATATCTCGTACAAGTATGTATATTTAGAATGATTCAAATAATCTGTAATGTTAGACGTAAGCTCATGACCCTTGAACAATAAAGAAATGAAATCTATTTGAGAATTGTGTAAGGGTGCTAATATGTTCTTCTCAGGTATGTGATTATGAGAATGACTTACCCATAGTCTAAAATTAATCATCATTAGTAAGAGCATTTTCATTAGCACAAGAAAAATGTTTAAATATAACTTATTATTTCATTTATTCGTGCAAGAAATATTTAATGAAACATATACTGTGCTTCAGGCACTAACTGACGCTGAGTTCTGGGTGCATCTGATTATGGCTGCATTTAATCTTTTTATTTGGACCTATGTTAGCAAAATAAAAGGGACGTATTTTAGCGAAATAAAAGATTTTAATTTAGCCCAACAGTTTCTTTTTTTTTTTAATTTTTTTTTAATGTTTATTTATTTTTGAGATAGAGAGAGACAGAGCATGAATGGGGGAGGGTCAGAGAGAGGGAGACACAGAATCCGAAACAGGCTCTAGGCTCCAAGCTGTCAGCACAGAGCCCGACGCGGGTCTCGAACTCACGGACCGCGAGATCGTGACCTGAGCCGAAGTCGGACGCTTAACCGACTGAGCCACCCAGGCGCCCCTAGCCCAACAGTTTCTAATTATTTTGATTTTTAACTGCTTTATCTTGTAAGGGTAGGTGTGTAACTAATCTTAGTTTTTAAAGCAGGCACAATGATCTAATAATGTTTTGAAGAGTTTTGAAAAACAATTTCCGAACAAAATGGGTTTTGAATTCTTAGTCTTGATATAGTTAAGTTTTTCTTGTTTGGGGACAGTGATATTAAAAGCTAATTTTTTTTTTTTTTGTACTCGAATTTGAAAAGAATCGCAAAATCTACTGCCACACATTAGTTTTTGTACTCTAACAGTTTAGTCTAATATAAGGAATCTTTTTCATTTCCTGAGTAGACCAGATTTTAGGAGAGTAAGAGAAAAGACCTTTTTTATATAGCAGGAAACATTTTAGGTGGGTTGGGTGTTATCTGCAGGGTGGATAATCTATATCTGAAACCGACAGTTTTGCAAGACAAAGACCGAATATATTCATTTACTTTTCAGCTTGGAATTTATTTATTTTCTATTCTTAATGAAAAAATAACTTTGGAGCATATGTCAAAGTTTATTTTTGAAGGAGAAGTTGAGCTATACATCTAAATGCAGATAAAGACTGTTCTAACCTGATAAAAATACTGGGAAGAGAAATAGTTCTGAAAATCTAATGTGAAATACTGATTAAAATGGATGTACCAGAGGATAGTGAGATAAAATGTAGACGGTGCGTGAAAGCATCTAGTGAGGTTTTTGTGTGTTAGTACCAGTGTTAGAAGCTCAAAATGGTGACCATGGAAGTGAAACTGAGGTTCCTTGTGTAGCTATCAAGGTCCTGTCCACCCCTCCTGTCTCCTCATCTGCTTCTCTTCTCCTTTGATGTTCTCTGGACACAGGTCATTTCAGTTCAGTCCACCTTGGGGCTTATAGAGCTTTTTTTCCTGGAAAGTTCTGCCTCTGGACCATCACATGGCTACTCTTTCTTGGCCTGTAGATTTTCATTTAAATGACCCTTTTGGTTAGGTTTTCCTTGATCTCTGTTCTTCTCAAGCACTCAATGTCACATTACTCATTTTATCACTGTGTGAAATTATCCTGTCCATTTACTTGTGGTTTACATAGATTCTGACCCCATCCCGCACCGAGGCTGGACGTTCTTTGAGGGCAGGGACATTTGTTTTTTCAGCTCCTTCCTGTGTTTTCAGAGTTCACTAGCATGTAATAGGTGCACAAAAAATACCCATCAAGTAAATGGTTTACTAGTTTGAGTTGGATTAGTTGGTTGAAGGTCATGATTAATGTTTGTCAGCTTAATACTCTTAAGTGACCATTAAATCCAAACATAGAAAAGGATTTTCTAAGGACCCCAAATCTTTGTTTCTTTGTTTCTTTCTTTTTTCTTTCTTTCTCTTTCTTTCTTTCTTTCTTTCTTTCTTTCTTTCTTTCTTTCTTTCTTTCTTTCTTTCTTTCTTTTTCTTTCTTTCCTTCTTTCTTTCTTTCTTTCTTTCTTTCTTTCTTTCTTTCTTTCTTTCTTTCTTTCTTTCTTTCTTTCTTTCTTTCTTTTTTGCCACAATAAAATGTAGTAATGCAGCTTTTCAATGCTCATAACATGATGGATGGCACCATATGTATATAGTGTCTACATAGAGCTAATTTTGTAGTTATACAGCATGAAAGAGTAGGTTGTTTTAGTTAGTAAACTTGATTCAAGGAGTTCTGCATTTTATACACTTGTCTATTGAGAGATGTGAATTGATGTTTAAATGGAAATGACTTTGAAGAGGAGGTGATGGAAGGGGGCCCAACTTTCTTCATAAAAATTATATGCCTGTGTCAACAATGTGGGCACCTGAGTTTGAGAATGGCTTAGTACCTGGTTAAGAATGATCATAGAGCATTATAGCTCATTATTCTGAGCAAACAAAACTTAGGATAATAGTATTCTCAAGGAGACGAGTTGCCTGATTTGTACTTTCATAGTCACAGACTGTAGCTTTGCAGGGTAGGAGGAAGCAGTTAATTCTGGAGATTCTTGAGATGGCAGATTGCGGTTTGATGTTTTATTTAAGACATGTGAGGCTTAGAAGGTAGTTTTTTATCTGTAGATGCTACAACTATTTTCTTCCTAGGTTGGTTGTGTTCTGTTACTGCTATTTATTTTCTGAGAAGACTTAAACTTTTCAGTGAAAAATGTTTTAATAATTCTACTCTGGACTTTTTAAAAAAATTCAGATATCATTAGTAAGAAATTAAAAAGGAGTTTTCTTTAATGTTTTTACTGATTTTTGAGAGAGAGAGAGAGAGAGAGAGAGAGAGAGAGAGAGAGACAGAATTCAAAGCAGGCTCCAGGCTCTGAGCTCTCAGCACAGAGCCAGACGTGGGGCTCGAACTTACAAGCCATGAGATCATGACCTGAACTGAAGTCAGACGCTCAACTGACTGAGCCACCCAGGCACCCCAGAGAAATTTTTAGAGAAAACACCTCTCCTGCTTTTCAGCTATGGTTTTATTTTATATTTTTCTTCAGGAATATGTAAAACCTCATGAAAATGCTTTCTAAATGATTTCTCTGAATGCACTTGGCAAGATTCTATTGCCCCTGATAAGCATTAAGCCATGTGAATAATTAAAGAAATAAGGCTCCTTTTAAGTTGATTTTTGAAAGATGATTATATAGGTTCTACATTTAAAGGTCCTATTTAATTGAGTATTGCGAGAATGTTGAGACAATGTCTTATTTCTTTCATAACATTTCAGAGTATTGTTGCCACCATAAAGAAAAAGGAATATAATTTCTTAGACCAGAGGAAAATGGATTTTGACCAGGATTATGAAGAGTTTTGCAAGCAGACTAATGACCTTCATGTAAGTTGTATAATAAAATTCCTGTTGACAGCCGTGTGTTTATTTTTTCCCTTCTGTACGATGCTGTTGCTAATCATTAACCATTCAGAAGGGAGAGGCGGCTTCATCATAGAGGTGACCGATCGCAACCTCAGCCTGTATTTTGTGATTTCACATTAATAATTGAAGGCTCTTTTTCATGGATTAAAGGGTCATAAATATAGCTTTGGATAATGATCTGTAATCATACTTTTTCATGCCTTCCATCTTAGTTCTTAGAGAATTAACTTTCATCTCCTGTTGAAATGTGGAGTTATTAGAATATAGAAATTTGTTTCTGTTTGTTTGTTACTTTATAGCAATGATTACGACCGACTGTGTGCCAGATGGCAAAGCCAGGGTTGCAGCTGGCTTTAGAAACAGTGGTGCCAGGACCCACTCAGCACCTGGACCCCTCTTGGTCTGCAGCCCACTTCTCTCTTCCTTCCCCCCCCCCC